CATCCAACTGAAGCAAGAAGAAGCATAAATCTGAAGAACATACTGAGCATGTAACACATAAGAAAAGCAAGGAACATGAGCATGAAGAACATACAGAACAGAAAGAAGAAGGAAGAATCAAGTTCACATCACCCAACTGAACAAGAAGAACATACAGAACATGAAGAAAAAGAAGAACCTGGCTCACATCACCCAACTGAACAAGAAGAACATAATCAGAAATGAGCATGTAACACATGAGGAAAACAGAGGAACATGAGCATGAAAGAACATACAGAACATAAGAGAAGGAAGAGTCTAGCTCACATCACCCAACTGAACAAGAAGAACATAAGAACATGAAGAAAGAAGAACCTGGCTCACATATCCAACTGAACAAGAGAACATAAATCCGAAGAACAAACTGAGCATGTAACACATGAGGAAAAAAGAACATCGAGCATGAAGAACATACAGAACATAAAGAGATGGAAGAATCTAGCTCACATCACCCAACTGGGCAAGAAGAACATAAATCAGAAGAACAAACTGAGCATGAAACACATAATGAAAACAAGGAACATGAGCATGAAGAACATTCAGGACATAAAGAGAAGGAAGAATCAAGTTCACATCACCCAACTGAACAAGAAGAACATACAGAACATGAAGAAAAAGAAGAACCTGTCTCACATCATCCAACTGAACAAGAAGAACATACTGAGCATGTAACACATGAGGAAAAGATGGAACATGAGCATAAAGAACATACAGAACATAAAGAGAAGGAAGAGTCTAGCTCACATCACCCAACTGAACAAGAAGATCATGAAGAAAAGGAAGAACCTGGCTCACATAATCCAACTGAACAAGATCATAAATCCGAAGAACAAACTGATCATGTAACACATGAGGAAAATAAAGAACACGAGCATGAAGAACATTCGCAGCATCCTTCTGAGCAAGAAGAGCATAAGACTGAAGAAAAAACTGAGCACGTAACACATGATCAAACTAAAGAACATGTGAATGAAGAACATACAGAACATAAAGTGACGCAAGAACAATCAAGTCATGGAGACCATAAGCCTCATACTCAATCTACATTAGCACCTTCAAGTGTTCATGAATTATATGTTTCGGAAGAACATACAGATCATGAAAATGTGGAAGAACCATCCTCTCATCACCATACTGAGCAAAAGATTAATAACTCTGAAGAACAAACCACTCATGTTTCACAAGAGCATACAATGGAATATGAGCATGAAACACATACAGAACACAAAGAGAAGGAAGGACATGAAAGTCATACAGACCATACGCCTCATACTCAATCTACATTACCGCCGTCGAGTGTTCACGAATTATTCATTTCGGAAGAACCTTTAGAATATACAGATCATAAAACTGAAAGTCTCATAACAAGTATAGGAAACACTAAAGTAATAGAAGCAACAAGCCTAGAGCCGTCAAGCGTTCATGAAGAATATGTTTCCGAAAGTGAGAATGTAGAAAACTTTAATAAAGCAACAACTGGACATCATGATACCAAACATACTATTGCTACAACTTTAGCACCTTCGACAGTTCATGAAATTCACGTTTTGAATGATGAAAATGAGAAAATACATAAACAGCAAAATACTTCAACGATAAAACCTATTACTGTTCATGAAGAAATTGAAACTCCAGTTGAACATTCAATAACAGTAAGTTCCAAACATATGCATAAAGAATCTACACATTCAACAAATGCACATTTTGATACAACTAATCTTGAACACCACGCAACAACTAAGNTTCTGATATAGAAGATCATCACAATAAACATATAGAACATACTACATCTGCTGCTGATCATTTAAGTACTATTTTTGACAATACTGAAGAGACAAAGAAATCAGAAAGCCATGAGACGGAAGAACAGGAGAAAACTGAAAAGTTGAATGAACAAACTACGAATAGTCATAAAGAACATGAACAGGAAACAGTAGAACACACAGAACATATAAGTGAGAAAGATAATGAAGATGAACGAAAGGAGCACGAAGAACAAACTGAAATTCAAACAGAAACTCATAATGAACATAAAGAACCAGAAGAACATACTATACATGGATCAATAGAAAAAACTGAGCATGTAACACATGATGAACAGATGGAACATGAGCATGAAGAACATACAGAACATAAAGAGAAGGACGAATCTAGCTCACATCACCCAACTGAGCAAGAAGAACATGAAACCGAAGAACAACTGAGCATGTAACACATAGGAAAACAAGGAACATGAGCATGAAGAACATACGAAGAGAAGGAAGAATCTGCTCACATCACCCAACTGAACAAGAAGAACATACAGAACATGAAGAAAAAGAAGAACCTGGCTCACATCATCCAACTGAACAAGAAGAACATAACATGAGAGAACATACAGAACATAGAAGAGAAGGAAGAATCTAGCTCACATCACCCAACTGAGCAAGAAGAACATAAATCCGAAGAACAAACTGAGCATGTAACACATGAAGAAAACAAGGAACTGAGCATGAAGAACATACAGAACATAAAGAGAAGGAAGAATCTAGCTCACATCACCCAACTGAACAAGAAGAACATACAGAACATGAAGAAAAAGAAGAACCTGGCTCACATCATCCATCTGAACAAACTACGAATAGTCACAAAGAACATGAAACAGTAGAACACACAGAACATATAAGTGAGAAATATAATGAAGATGAACGAAAGGAGCACGAAGAACAAACCGAAATTCAAACAGAAACACATAATGAACATAAAGAACCAGAAGAACATACTATACATGGATCTATAGAAGAAAACTTAGAACCCAAAGAGCATGAAAATGAGCAGAAGCAATACGAAGAGCATACAGAAAAGCACGAAGGACATGAAATCGAACATGAATCTACAAACACACATATAGAGCATAACGAACCAGAAGAACATAAAACAACAGGAGCAGAACATGAGCCACAGCACAAAGAAGATGAACATGAAAACACCGAACATGAAACAATTGATAAACAAACTCAACATGAAATACAAACCGAACAGGAAAATACAGAAGAACATGAAAAAATTGAAGCACACACACAACATGAAAGTAGCGACGAACAAACCGAACATGAAACCCATAAAGAGCATGAAGAAAATGTTGAAGTTGCAAAGAATAAAAGTCATGATAATAAAGAAGAAAACATCGAAAATGAAACAACACAAATGCAAAAACAAGAAGAAAACGAAGATCACAAAATTGAACATAATCAACACGAAGAACACAAAACTACAGCAGAAAATGAAAAACTTGAAGAACATACAGACCATGAAAGCAGTAAAGAGCAAATAGAACATGAAACCACAGGCGGTCCTAAAGAACATGAAGAACATAATAAAGAAGAAGAAAACGCCGAACATGAAACAACAGAGGAACATAAAAAACATGAATATGAACAGCACGAAGAACCAGAAAATATAGAAGAACATACAAATGAGCATAAAGGATCAAATGACTATACTGAACATGCATCAACTAATGAAGTTGAACATAAAGAGTACGATGAACATACTGAACATGATAATATTGAAGATGAAAATAAAGCTACTGAAGAATATGCAGATCATAAAATTAAAGATGAACACCACGAACATAAAACCACGCAAGAAAATAAGGAAGAAGAAAGTGAAGACGAGCATGCCAATCATGAAATCTCAGATGAGCATAAGGAAAATGAACATAAGGAGTACGAAGAACATAGCACTGAGGAGAATGCAGTAAAATATAAACCTGAAGATCATGAAAAGGAACATGCAAAAGATAATACAGAAGAAAATGAAACAGAGAAACATACAAAAGATGAAGGTGAACATCATGAGCACAAAGAACATACTACAAATAAAATTAGCGAACAGGAAGAAAATATTCATCATGATAAAGATAAGGAAGATGAGGAAAAGCAAGAAGAGCGCACAGAGCATGAAAATATACATGATCATGATGAACACAAAAGTACAATGCAACATAAAGAACATGATGAGGAAGATAAACAGCAGCATAAAGATCACGAAAACCAATCGCATGAACATGAAGAAAAAAAACCGACAGAGGATCACAAAAAAACTCACATAGATCATAAGGATGAGGAAATAACTACAAACAGTGGTGCTCAAGCTAGCATCAAGGAAGGAGAATTTCATACGGCAAGTACCATTCCTGTTGATGAAGAACTAACGACACATGTTGGAGCACAGGCTAGTGCGAAGACAAAAGAAAATTTACACACAACTTTGTCCACATCGTGTAAAACAACAAATTCGCATAAACATGATGAAATAACTACGCACAAGGGAGCTCAGGCCAGTGCAACGCACGATCTTACTTCATCAGAATGTACATACAGTATAGCCTCGAGCGAGAAATTATCGTCTACTCAAAGCATCAACGTATCGGAACATTTATCATCTTCTGAAGATAACTCAAGTGAGTATACGTAACAGTTCATATTCTATTCGGCAATAATTATTATTTCTTCGATTCTCGTTTAGAATCGGAAGGGATGCTAATTAGCACGTCGACAACTGTAAATGAGATTCACGTACAATTACCAACGTATTTTCCAAATTCGACCGTACCTATTCCAAATTTCGAGACTTTTTACACGACAGTCGCGAAGAACTCGGACGTCTACGATGACGAGCAGATAGACTCCACCTTAAATCCGTACCATTTTCGGTCGATGAAACTGAAAGATTTTGACCGAATCACTGAATATCAAACAACAACTGTGAGCAACGTATCTGTTTCAGTTGCAGCGTCAACCGAAATAACTGAATCCTCTGGCAATATTGAAATTTCGGTATCTGGATTCCGAAACGAAGGATCCTGCCGCATCGGCAGTGAAGGAAACTCAACCTGCATATGTTCTATAGATAACTTGATCAAAGATCTACGTAATAAATCGGTCGTCGGTGAACTGAACAGCTCTCTAAACAGCTACAAGTGCGATGTGTTCAATGTTCCTTTGAAGAGTGGAATCAAGGTGGGATCTATCATACATAAAAGGGAGAAGAGGAATGTGGTTTTGCCGGGCGAGGAGAAACCGATTGGTAAAAGAGAAGTGGTGTATAATAAAGATATTGATACAGTTTTAACAAAAGACATTGAGCTCGTGGATGTCGGTAAGTACGTACAAGTACATACATTAAGATAAAATGATTTTTGTATACTCCTAGGGAATCATAAATACGTGTCGCCGGGAGCGCGCGTTAAGATTCCGTGTGCCGAAGGAAAGAATATGACAACAAGCAAATATGATATAAAGTGGACTGATGGAAATGGTCAACCAATCACCGGTAAAATTATTTTAAATGTTCCATTTTTAGGATTAATTATTAATTATATCATAACAAATTTAGAAGGAAAAATGCAAGAAACTGACATGGGTTATTTGATCATCGACAATGTAGTAGCTCAAGATGGAGGAAATTATACCTGTACCATTTCTAATAACTCTACCGGCATTCGAACATTTATACACCAATTGTCAGTAGTTCAATTGCCTAAGTTTGATATAAATACGACCATTTTATATACGATGAAAGTTTTATGCGAAATGGAAGACGTGGAGGTAGTCAAAATGTATTTTACTACAGACATTAGTGATTTGATTTGCGGGAGGAGTCATAAGATCTGCACATTGGAAATTACACGGATTCATTGCAATAATAAAAAGGTAATATCGAATATTATGTCATATTTAATTTAAACTGTTTTCATTTTAGAACCACCATTCCATATACGTCGCATTGGTATTCCGAGTGGAACCCATGGATCTAATTATACCAAGTTTGAATATCACCCAGTGCAATATCATTTGTCAGATGAGAATTTACAACAAGTTGGTTTCGGTGATTGTACATAATCTGCAAGTGTTTGAAACTCAACCCGGTAGATAAAGCATTTCATAAATATTAGCACTATTTTTTATGAATTATTTATTAATGATTTAGTCATTTATCACCAACTTAGAGAAGTCACTTTAACTCCAAGCCATGATAATACAACAAATGAAACTACTGAATCGCCTATACTAAGTATCGGATGCTCGGCTGGATTCGGATTAATACCAGATCAACATATATGCAGTAAGATGGAATATTTGCTTTATTTATATACGAGATTAATTAGTTATCTTTCTTTAAGTCGCTTGTGACCCTAACAGTTTTTCTGATGGAGATGAAGCATATTGCTCGCAATGTCCGAAATGGCAGTATCAACCCAATGTTGGTTCAAAATCCTGTTTGACGTGTACATCTCCTCTACAGAATCCAAACTGCTTAACTGCTATGGTAAATTTAAGAAATCCACTCTGTGTATATATATTGAATTATTCTACATTGTAGATGGACACGGATAAGTTTAAGTTGTTGGCGTATTCTGCGGCAGCCGTTTTGGTTGCTATGTTCATCATATGTTTATGCATACATGGCAAAAGGAACAAGATCGCAAGCAGCAGCAAGAAGTCTATGAACATTCACGATATATCGAAGGGCAAAAGGGGTCGAGGCAACCAATATCTGGACGTGGAGAAGCAGGAGTTAGGGGCTGAACCAAGGCTGACGAAGAAGCGTCGTCGCCTGGATCCTCCGAATCCTCCGCCACCAGACTTTTAATTAAGTAGATTAATATTTTATTAAGTATTTTATTTAGATTTAAAAATATACGTATGCAACGAATGTTCTGGTCGTTCCTAATCCAACCAAGGAATCGGAGGCGGGAATTTCGCGTCCGACGAGATCGGTGTAATCAGGTTGTTGCGCTTTACTGTTAGACTTCGTTTCTTCTCGATTTTCTTGTTCGGGAACAGCTGGCGTGCCACGTTGATACCGAAATTGCGATTCTTGGTGATATCCCGTAACATTTTCGATAGTTTGTATTTCTTCTTGTTGGTCATATTTTTGAGGCTCTTCAGGTTTATGTCGTGACCCGGATTTAAACCAACAGCTATGATGTTCTCTACGCTGGATGTGTCTAATACAGGGCGGAGGGCGGACAAGGCCCTCGATACCCCGACCTTGATGAAAATAATATTTATTTATTGAAGATTTATTTATCGTTATATATATATTATACCTGTCCGTGCTTGATGTGATGTTCGGTTAAATCTGCACCCAGCAGCTCATGATGCACCTCCATTCTAATGACAACCATCTTGTTGATGACGAACAGTAGGAACATGCAAGAGCACATACCCCAAGTGACTAGACACAAACAGGTCAACGCTTGTATTCCTAGTAAATAGAAACCTCCACCTGCAATCAAAATTATATTGCTTACATCGAAATGCATCAACTCAAGTCATACCATGAATCAAGCCTTTTAACCCATTTGTCGTATTTAATGGTATCGGATTATCCGCAAATATTCCAACGGCAAGAACACCTAAATTTTAAACATCAATATTTTATAATGAAAATGATTACTACAATACCCCAAATACCGCATATACCATGAACGGAGCTTGCACCCACCGGATCATCAATACCTAGCTAAATGAAATATATTAAAAATCTTCTTCTGAATTTCAAAACCGCTCACCTTATCAAACATCGGCATTGTAATACAAGCCAAAAAGGAACCAATAACGCCAATAAGAAGCGATTCCCAGGCTAATATAAAAATTGATAAAATAGTGACAAAAATAATGATTAGAATAGTTAATAGTAATTTATGTTACCCCTATATAAGAAACAGCCTGCAGTTATAGAAACCAAGGAACCCAATATCCCATTAATAATTGATAGAACTTCGATTCTACCGTTTTTCAGTATCAAAGAATATAAAATACTGAAGGCTCCTCCACCAAAGGAAGAAATCATCGTCATGACAGCGGCTCTAGCGGCGTACTGCCATTTCTCTCCGCTGAGCTAAAAAAAAAACGCAAATGAATGCTATATATTAATACATCAAACAACAAGGAAGCCTATTACTCCATATGTGCTTCCGGAATTGAAAGCCAGCCAGCCCCACCATAAGACGAACAAACCCATCACAGCATTTACCGGACTACCTAGTGGCAGAGGAGCTATACCGTTGTCGTATCTGCCTAGCCTAGGTCCAAGCATTATGGCTGCAGCTGTAGCCGCGCTGCCGCCTGCAAATAAAGTAATACAACGATGGATGATTGCATTAATCAATTTGAGCAAGATTCAAACCGATCAAATGAACGGGTCCGGAGCCGGCGATGTCTACTGCCCCCAATTGCTTCAGAAATCCATGATGACCCCAAACCCAACCAGCCGGTATGCAATAAATCAACGTATTCCAAAAGCTGAATATGCAGTACGCCTTAAAATTGCATCTGTAACCGATTCACATAGTTTAATTTAATATAAACGGTGTATCTTATTCAACATGTATGATTGGTTGCATATACTAACAAACGCTAAATTTGAAACAAATTCAAACTTTCAAATTTACAAATCTATTTGTATAAAAAAATTAGTGGCTGGCGAAATTGCGCAAGATGCGTAAGCTAAGTGAAGAGGGAAGGTTTCGAAACAAAAAAAAAGTATTTGTATAATCTAAACACAAACTAATCTTACTAATGTTATCATAATCTACATACATACTAATAACTCTTGTATACAAACTTATTTATAACTTGATTTAATTTTAATTGACAAAATACTAAAAAAAAAATACCGTTCTGCCATTGCTCCACTGACGATTGTGGTAGCTGTAGTCGCGAAAGATAATTGGAAAATAAAGGCAGCGTAAATTGCGCCCTTCATAGGATCGTCAATATCAGGGTCGATCAGAAAATCGCCCGTTGAGATGAAAGGGTTATCATAGCTGCTCCTTCCAAACGAAAAAGCGTATCCGAACATCCAATACGTCAATCCTTGGATCAAAGAGGAAATTATAATAAATTATCATTAAATCACTTTCCGGAATCGATGAGAAATTACCTCCGAGAACTATGTCCACAACATTCTTCATCATGATATTAACTTCATTTTTAATAGAGACACATCCAGATTCCAGCATTCCGAAACCTAAGAAGTGAACGATATAAGGCATGAAAAAGAAGCTTGCATCGCGATCTCGCGTTCGCCTTACCGGTTTGCATGGTGAAAATCATAAATGAGCTGGTAATTATCCAATTGGTGTCGTCCAAGTTGATGTCGTAAAGCCACGGGATATCCTCGGTGACGTTGGCCCCATTTATAGCGGATCCCGTTCGCATTTTCAGCTACAACCAAGAACAACTTCCGAACACCAAATGACCCAAGAGCAGGCTTCTCCTGAAACAACAACTACAATAACAACAAGACGATCTGCTTGTAAACATTTCAATATTTAATCTCGACTTCCCGGTAAAAAAAAAAGTATCTGATCTTATTTATTCACCAAGTAAATGCCGGTAATTTGGAACGAGTTTAGAGAAAAACAACAGCGATTGCGGACGGATCTAAATAATTCGCTTCGCAATTAAAAATAATACAATTCTTCTTGCATGCGATGCGGAGCGATGATAATTCAATCAATTAATAAATTAAACTGAAAGAACGCTCGAATTCTATTGTGCTCGCATCGGGCATATACAAAACAGCATCGATAGTAATAATAATAACAACAACAACAACAACAGAGCGTTAATTTGGATTTGAACAATTTAATTAAACTTTATAGATCGCTCGTGGTCATTCAATAGTGATCAAACAATGGCCGTTGTGATTCGAACTTTTTAATCGACGTTGAGTTCGTTTGTTTGCTAGGAATGATCACGTACGAGTCGCATCTCATCGATTCTTCAGGTAAGTACACGTAATGCACTTGAATATATCAATTATTTACCATCCGGGATAAATTATTCAGGATAGAAGTTATCTTTCGAGAAGTGAAATAAAACAAAACGAGAAAGAACCGAACAAACGGCGGTCGTTATCAATATTGACGGCGACTTTATTACGCAACAGCGCTCACGTTCCGATTCGTTTTCCCCTTTGAACTTTCATGAAAAATGCACGGCTCTCATTATTAACCAAACAATTATACACACAGTATTGATTGCAGCAAATTAACACACACAAACATACAAACTAAATAACTATTACATTGCTACACTGTATTTTTTTATTCAAATATTAATCGGCATCGATCAAAGTGACCTATCGATATTCTACATTACTAATTATTTCGATTACAGCTAATGTTAATGAATATGTGACAGACCTATTACAATGCATATTTTATACTACCATTAAATCAAACAACATTTTACTCATAAAATTAATTATTACTAAATATAATATATCAGATTTGATTGGACACAATTTCAATAATTAGTCCAATATTTTTAGTTATACGTTCCGAGCCTCTTAGAAATTGCATACATTAAAAAAAAAACCTTTTATAAATCTCTAAAGAGATCAGTAAATTTTTTCAAACATCTCTACAGTTTCCCATTTACTACTTAAAGAAAATATTAGATTTAATAATAGTCATCTGTTCAGATGAAATGGATACGTTACGCTTAAAAAAAGTTAAATATATGTTTATAATAATTAGAATTATAAATACTCAATAATTTTCAATAATTTATCTATTATACGCAATAAAAGTGTATTGTGTAATTGATATTAAGTGGTTTGTGAAATGAAAAAAAAAGAAAGCGGAAGCAAACAGTTGAAGTGGTCGCATTTGCGTAGGACATAGTCTTAAGATTAAAAAAACCACTTCTGGTACAAAGCTTTACCGGAGCGGTATTAAGTTCGAAATGACATGTACATGTTTGAATATATATTTAAAAAAAAAGTACTTCAATTCAAATAATATTTCTTTATTCAATGATCGTGAATAAACCTTGTCCACTAACAGAACGGTTTTGCAAGAGAAATAAAATATACATTCAGAAATATAGATAATGATGTAATTAACAATAATTACTTTGTGAAATAATAAGAGTAAGTAGAAAAACAATTTATTATTAAAGTTGTGCAGGTAATTAATAGGCAAAACAACTAGGTATTAAATACTTATTTAAAATTCTTCTGAACTAATTAGATGATTTCCATACGAATCGATTATCATAGTTTCCATTGATATTTCGTTTGTTATACAATCAATCTTCACCAATTGATTTATGGAAATATTCATCCGATTAATCCTAATAATCAATTAAGACAGACACATCGTGTCTACAATTCTCTAAACAATGCGTATTTCCAAAATTATTATTTTATAGTTGGCCTGTCAATTGTACTTACTTGATCCATTTATTGTTTATTAAATGGGTAACTAACAGATGTTTGTCAATCAATATTTTGATTGACTTTTAAAGTATTATTTTTTAATACTTAAATTGCTGCATTACTAGAGTAATTGAGTAATTGTAATTAAATTTTTTATGAAAATAAAGAGAGAAATACCAGTAGCAAATATATCGAGCTAATCAAATATTTATATACTATTTGATATTTACAAATAGAATGAAGTAGACTCTAATGTTAATCGTTTATTGCTACGTATTGTAGTTTATATTTGACAGCTTAATTTTCACCATCCACTTTTATATAAAATTGCTAAATAAATGATGTTTTGTATATTTCACAGTTTCTGTTTATATATTTAATGTTTATAATATATTACTCGTTTTTTTTTTGTTCCCGTGAAAAAAAAGTTAACTAACAATTAAATTAAATTGTCTATTGACCTCTGTGTATATTATTCGTATGCAGAATAAAGAAAACAACAAAATAGAAAAAAAAAATGTATTAAACATTTTGCTTTTTCTCCTCCTTTAATTTATTTATTAAGATATTAATTGTATAATGTTTAGTAAATTCAAAATTAAAAATGAATACAAAAGCAATTACTTCGGTAGAATGACTTTATTCAAAGAAAATACATTTTAAACATCGAATAACGTTAAAATTAATGCTCACAATAGGAAAAAGCAATAAAGTATTACATAAAGATTTCTATTTAGTAACGTGTGGCCAGGTATGACTGTATTTTCGAAATATCCGGGAGATACAAATCTCAAAAATGTTCTGAATAGAAAACAATCTATGTAAATTTTAAATAAACATTATTTATTGAATTAATTTGCATTTACATATTTATAAAAAAAAGTTACATGAAAATAGTAACAAATAGTAGTAAACAAACAAAAAAAAATTCTTAAATTGGAACAAACAAAAATTAATTGAAAACTTTCAGGTTTTGGAAACATGATGTTGCTTCATGTTTGATATAATTACTTTAAAATTGGGACATCAAAAATGTAAGAGCAATTTGAA